TCTCCTTTTCTAGGACCCAGGTTATATTTGTCAATAATCCAAAAATTTAGGAGGTTAGCCTTACCATCATGTTTTTGGATCATATGTCTTGCTACTTGTCAATCCTTATTTTGATCAATATCCCTCACATGTTCAAGAACTCGTCTCGAAAAAGGGCAAATTGTTTTTCCTACATATATTTGGGGGCATGGGCATTTTATAGCATAAATCACCCCCTCTGTACTGAAATTATAAAAATCTCTTATTTTAATGATCTCCCCATTTTTAGGGTTAACAAACTCCTTGGTGTTGCTCTAGAAAGTACATGCTTTACAGTGACCACACCTGAAACTACTTTTTGGTTTCTCAGGTAGCCAAGTGTGTTTCATTGTTGTTTTAGTGTTTTTTTCTAGGTGACTATGTACGAACATTGCTCAAATTCCTATCCTGTCTTGATACTCATGCCTGGCTGGTCATCCACTTTTATGGTCTTCTGACCCAACAGAGATTCCCTCAGAACCCCTTTCACTTTCTGATAGGATTTAATCAAATCAGTCTTATGATAGCCACGTCTCAAAAGTCTTGACCAGTGGGGATTCCTCTTCTGAAGGCTGCTGGATGTGAACTTCCCCAATGTAACAGGCTATTCGTGGAGGTCGGTTTCAATAAATTGTTGTATTAATATTGCCTCCTACACCTCTCTTGATCTCCAAGACCAAAAAGGTTTATGCTATCATATTTAATTTTACTTGTGAAGTTCATCCCAATATTGTTTCAATTTAAGGTGGCTACAAATTCCATGAACAGATCCCTTTGACCCTGCCATAATATAAACACATCATCAATGAATCTTACCCACATGAGAATGTGCACCACAAAACATTCTAGCTCTTCTACAAAAACCACAGTACACTCCCACCACCCAAGAAAGAGATTTGCATATGTAGGTTCACAAGACGAACCCATCGCAGTTCCTCTGCGCTGTCTATATACTTTACCATCACATAGGAATAAATTGTGTTCCAATACAAACTGTGAGCAAATGTGGTATGGTTCTCAAATAGTTTGCCTCTAGTTTCCAAAAAGGATTTACAAGCTTTTAGACCCAAATCATGACTGATATTACTATACAAAGCCATTGTGATGTCTATTAGTCTGTTTACAAAGTCTCGTGTATCTTCAATACATGAAGGTAAACTATACACAAATGGATGCATGATATAGTCTAGATATTTGCTTGCTCCTCCTGTAAGATTGTTATTGCCCGAGATAATAGGCTGGCCAGGAGGTTTTTTTAATGTTTGTGTACCTTAGGTAAGCCATAAAAAGTCACAATAATTGGATGTGCATTCAAAATAAAAGCACCTTCATCTTTGGAGAGGATGCCCTCTTCAACAGCCCTTTTCAAATAGAGTTCAACTCACTCAAGCATTTGAGGGTTGGATCATTCTGAAGTATTTCATAGTTATTCTCATTGCTTAATAAATCATAACACATTTTCAAATAAAATGCTCTGTTCATCCAGACTATATTTCTAGGCCACGTAAAAAATGGTAGGCCATGTAAAATGGCAGACTGTGGTCAACACATGCTGAAGTGCACAGTGCGCAGAAGTCGTCAACTGTCTGCAGAGTCAATAGCTAAAGACCTCCAAACTTCCTGTGGCCTTCAGATTAGTACAATAACAGTGCATAGAGAGCTTCATGGAATGGGTTTACATGGCCGAGCAGCTGCATCCAAGCCTTACATCACCAAGTGCAATGCAAAGCGTTGAATGCAGTGGTGTAAAGCACTCCACTACTGGACTCTAGAGCAATGGAGACATGTCCTCTGGAGTGATGAATCACACTTCTCTGTCTGGAAATCTGATGGACTTGTCTGGGTTTGGCAGTTGCCAGGAGAACAGTACTTGCCTGACTGCATTGTGCCAGATGTGCCAGATGTGCCAGAATTGTTGGAGTGGGGATTATGGTTTGGGGTTAACTTGGCCCCTTAGTTCCAATGAAGGGAACTCTTAAGGCATCGGCATACCAAGATATTTTGGAAAATTTCCTGCTCCCAACTTTGTGGGAAACAGTTCCAACATGACTGCACACCAGTGAGTCCTGACCTCAACCTGATAGAACACCTTTGGAATGAATTAGAGCAGAGACTGCGAGCCAGGCCTTCTCATCTGACATCAATGCCTGACCTCACAAATGCGCTTCTGGAAGAATGGTCAAACATTCCCATATACACTCCTAAACCTTGTGGACATCCTTCCCAGAAGAGTTGAAGCTGTTATAGCTGCAAAAGGTAGGCCAACTCAATACTAAACCCTACGGACTAAGATTGGGATGCCATTAATTTCATGTGCGTGTAAAGGCAGGCGTCCCAATACTTTTGGCAATATAGTATATGTTTATGGGCTACTTAGTTTACTCAGGGCTTTTCATATATGTGCTTTGCGGTAGTGCATAATTAACTGTACATTTTACCATGCTACTGCAAAGCATGTTAATGTATGAGCAAATGCACATGTGTCGCAGTGCTATTCAGAACGCCATACATTACTATATATAGTATCTAATACACTTGTGTTGTGAACTTTTTGATTTTGAGGAACAACTGATCCTGAATAGCTGCAGCCACAGAGGTCAGTGATGGTTTTTTTTTAAAGGATAATTTCACCTTTCATAACATGTTATACATTGCATCCATATTCATTTTATGAAAGGACTGGCCCTGCACCCCCCTGAATCCCCCATTGTGACAGCTAGCGGGGGATCTTCTCCCTGCGCTAGCCATCAAAATTAAAAAAAAAACGAGGCTGTGCGGGGCTCCATCAGCCTTGCCATGCCAATCATTCACAGTCCTCTGTAAATGAAAAAACTACAAAGCAAGAAGATGTATTGACAGTTCAGCAGGAGACCTTTATGTATGAACTTACTATGGTCCTTATAATATATATTTTCAGCATTTGTTATCTTAAAAATAAACATTTCTTTTTGCAATATTGCTGCTAGCCGTAATCATTGGAAAACGAGCAGTTGTTCATTCAAAGGCCTAACACTTTTACAGAGAGCTATAGATGCTGCAATAAAGCCAAAGCTCTCAAAACAACTGTGCACCTGGGCACGGCAGATAATTGTTAAAAAAGGCTGGGAACACATCATAAGTACAGAATGGTCAGCATAATCCTATTACTGTAGTTATATGAATTGCTGCAGTTCTGTCTTTTCCAATCCCAATCCTAAAAAAGATGACGTCTGTGTTCTATCTGGTTGTAGCCCTGGGAGGTACCCAGAAAGGAGGATGCTTGGCAGGTTGAGCTTAAAAGACCAGGGGCAGCTCTGGGCACCTAGACTGAAAGGTTGTTGTAGCACATTGTCTCTTTTTCTCATTTTGTGGTTTCCCTCTCTTAAGCTTCTATAACCTTTCCTCCCCTCTTCTGGGAGAGAAGACCAATAACTCACCACTACTGTTCTTTTTATCATCCCTCCTCAATATGTCATCATATTGATGCTACAGTCTAGGACCTGTGAAGATGCTAGACCTGTGACCTGTGAAGACCCTGTTTATACACAGCCAATAAATGTCCATCATCCAAAGAAGGACCCTTCTACTCTGCAGTTCAAACGATCTGACAGAAAGTGTGAGATTTGGCAACCTTACCCTAAGTGGGGGATTATCTATAGAAGAGTGAGGTGGGACAATATTTGTGGGGGGGGGGGGGGAGGGGGTTAGACAAATGTCAATAGTTGGAAAAGAGCTAAAGGATCAAATTTTATAAAAGTGCTCTAATATCCATTTGCACCTTTGACACATTGATGACTGTTCCTTCTAGAAATGTTAGTTGTGTCACTTTAATACAGAAGCACTGGCTTCAAAACATGCAGATAAGATCTCAACAGATCTAAGTGAAGAGAATTTGATGAATTCAGCTTCAGATACAAGCAGAGAGAGGGAGCACAATAAATGGTGGCTGGACTTAGAGAAAAACCTGAGGAAAAAACACTAATGGACTACAGCTGTCCCACCAATCATCCTTTTTTCCACCCTGGGGCCCCCGTTGTCTATCAGTATATTTTGCATTTTTTTTACTTCCCATTTCTGGCCAGATCATGTGAGAAACACAGTCTTTTTCCACTTCTCTCTCCGAAAGTGGGCAGGCTTCAATGAAGCAGAGAGCAGTGCAGATGTGAGGTCACATAAAAAAGTGCCAGTTTTTGGAAAAAAAACACTTTTAGCTTTCTGAAACTGGGACATTATTCACATAAGGTCAATGTAAAATATTGCAAAATTATTTTTTTATAAACCATATGGCCAAGGTTTGTAGACACCTAACCATCACACCTGTATGACTTAGTTGAACATCCCATTTCAACTCCCATCTGTTACGTGTCTGATAGAGACTGAGTTGAGGGGAGGGCATGGGTGCCTGAGGGGGCCCATCTCTGCATCAGCACCCATCTCTGCACCGTGATACTGTTGTTGCAAGACACTGTGATGATGTCTCTCAGGGGGTGGGTCCATGGTACCCTGATTCACAGTACGTCCTCCGTCTTTTGGGTTGAATAACACTGGATAAAGCCATTACTGTGGGGAACGATGCTGAAGAGGAGGTGAGGTGCTTTTTTACTTCAGCTAGGGCAGCAGTTAACGGACACAATAAGTTCACCTTTGGGAACATTTTACATGTCCCACCCGTTTTTAGCCTTAGTGGCTGTCGGCTTGTAGTTCTCAGGGAAGCTGTCAGTATACAGTATCTGCTTGCCTGTACATCTCATACGGGCAAGCAGATATACTGAAAGATCTGCAGGAGACCTGCATGGCACCAGCAATTTGCTGATCGCTGGTGCAATGCTTTCCAGGCTCCTGCAACCAAAAATAGTAAAATGCACACTTTTTTTACTTGCCAAAAAAGTGTAGTTATTATTTTGGTCAAACAGTGAACTTATGCTTAACTGCTTCCGCGGCGCCCTATAGCAGATATACTGCTACAGGGCGGCACAGGTGCACAAAATCACGTATATATATGCGATTTTGCATTTCCGGGCAGCCCCCCTACCGTACCTACCCTACCTGCATTGACATTCGTCGCCGTGGCTGTCCATCATCGGGTCCCAGCCGGTGATTACCGACAATCACCAAGTGGGAGGAGGGCTGCTTTGTTTGTTAACAGTCCCCCTCCCTGTCGGATTGGGCATACTGCTCTGGATGGCTGTGCACAGCCATCCAGAGCAGTGTGCTTACAGTGAAGCCCTCCTCCCCAGTAAAACACTCCCTGCACACAGTTAACCCTTTGATCGCCCCTCATGTTAACCCCTTCCTGCCCAGTGCCATTGGTACAGTGTCTGTTTTTTTTTTTTTTTTAGCACTGATCACTGTATTGGTGTCACTGGGGATGTCAGTGATATCAAGTCAGTTCCCCCCAGTTTCAGAATGCCTGCCACGGTCCCACTTTAAGTTGCTGATCGTAACTATTATCATTATTTAAAAAAAAAAAAAATTCCAGTATCTATACTGCCATTTGTAAATGCTATAAAATTTAATTTAAAGCAATTAATTTACATGTATTGGGATTTTTATTTAGCAAAGACCTGTCGCAGAATACATTTTGGCCTAAATTTATGACAAAATTAGATTTTTAAAATTTTTTTACTGGACATGTTTAACCACTTCCGTGCCACCCTATAGCAGAAATACTGCTACAGGGCGGCATGGGTGCACAAAATCACTTATGTGATTCACTCTCCTTTGGTTTTCGTAAGTCGGGGGGGGGGGCGCCGACCCGTGGCTGCTGTGATTTGATCCCCAAGGGATCAATCATACAATTTAGGCCAGTGATGGTCGTCCTAAGTCGGATGATTGATCCCTGCCCTATCAGGGATCTTCCTGTACCTGTGTGTACAGTTCCACAGGTACATGAAATGATAAAATCTTCTCTCCCTAGGCACATTCCGTCTCTGAGAGAGAAGAATCTAGACACAGCGAGTAAAACAACACACTTACACACTTGGAACACTTTAGGACACATTTAACTCCTTGATCACCCCCTCCCCCAGTTAACCCCTTCACTGCCCTGTCACCAGTGTCATTAGTACAGTGTACAGATTTTTTGCTGATCACTGTATTAGTGTCGCCGGTGACTTCAGATAGCGTTAGCATCAGTTAGCGCCCCTCTGAGAGTGTCAGATTGCCCGTCAGTACAACAGTAATCACATTTAACCCTCGATTGCCAGGAACACGCTTATACACAATAAACCTCCATTGCTAGTATAGTGTCTGAACGGATCAATATCTTTGATCTGATCAGCACTATACCAGCGTTTACATTAGTATAGTGTCCCCAAAAACACAGCGTTAGCGGGATGAGCCCCAGCTTAACCCCCCCTTCTCCCCCAGAAAGTGACGTGTCAGTAGCTCACTGTCACTTGATACATTACACACAAAACCTGATCACTGTTAGCACTTGCTAGTAAATTTTTTTGTAGTGGTTCAAGCAGTCCCTGACAGCCAGGTGCTCTTTTTCTCATGAGTTGCACTAGGTTCCTAAAATGTAGTGCCAAAATGTCAATGGAAAAGTACTCTAGTGAAGAGGCCTACAGGATTTTGAGCATGTCAGATGAGATAGAAGGAGAAGACTGACTGACACAATCAGCCTCAGAATACGAACCTGTAGACAGCAGCGGCACCCTGACAGATAGCTCAGACGATGGAGAAGAGGTCCCTGCTAAGATCAGGCGTACCTGACCCATTCCCAGGTTGCTGAGATGTTACAATTGCATGATGACTCTCATATGCAGCAGACTGCCAGTAGTAGTGCCACTCTACCTTTTGGTGAACTGGCGAGCATCAGCGGCCTAGTACATCCTGGTCTTTCACATACCAGCACTGCAGTATCACTTGGTGATGTGGAGAGTCCCATAAGTGCAGTACAAGCTGGTGCGATGGCAAGCACAAGTAGTGTCCAGCAACCACCAAGAATTCGCACACAGGCCAGTAGAGCCTCTAGTATCCTTCCGCATGTGCTTGCAAATCCCGATTGTTAGCCCACAAATTCTGCAGCACCCGCACTTCCCCCATTCACTGCCCAACAGGGAAATCAGGTAGAAACAGCAAATTTAAATACTCCCCTTGATTTTTTGGAGCTGTTTTTCACAGAAGATCTGTATGCATTGATTGTGGATCAAAGCAATTTATATGCACAACAGTTTATCGCCGCCTTCCCAAATTCAAATCTTGCCAGACCATTCGCATGGAAACCCATTATGGTTTCTGAATTTAAAGTTTTTTGGGGCCTAAACCTCAACATGGGCATTACTAAAAAAAAAAATGAATTGCGGTTATATTGGTCCACAGACACGATTCATCAAATGCCCGTGTTCTCTGCTGCCATGGCCAGGCATAGCTATGAAAGTATAATGTGTTTTATGCATTTCAATGACAACACACTCTGTCATCCTTGGGGTGACCCCGAATTTGACCAGCTCCACAAAATTCAGCCCCTTGTAAATCACCTTAACCAAACGTTTGCAGATGTCTATACTCCCCAGTAAAAAATTTGCGTTGAAGAGTCCCTCATTAATTGTTCTGGCCGCCTTGCTTTCAAACAATTTCTCCCCAGCAAGCGTGCCAGATATGGGGTCATGATGTATAAGACCTGTGAGAAGGCAACTGGCTATACATATATGTTTTGGATTTATGAGGGAAAAGATAGTCATGTGGAGTCCCCGGATGCCCGGAGCAGTAGCAAGATAGTTTGGGAATTGGTGTCATTCATTTTTCCATATGGGATACCACTTATACGAGGACAATTTTTATTCAAGTGCGCCACTATTTAGACATTTGTGCAATCTTGGAATTGGTGCATGTAGCACCGTGCAACCTAATTGCCGGGGCTTGCCCAAATGGCTAGTAAATACCCATCTCAGAAGGGGAAAAGCCTGCTTGAGAAATGAGAATGTCATTCAGCTGCAGCACCAACAGGGTCTTGCTCTCAGAATATACATAAGCAGGTGTGTGCAGTGCTGTTGGATGAGATTTTTCATCCGCAGTTAAAAAACAAAAGAACATATATGCCAAAGTATAGGGGCCTGGGGTGGCCAGTGGGTGGATGGCCCCTATGCTATGGCATACAGTATATATTTTATAATATTTTTTGGCACATTTTATGTGTGCCCACCATTAGAAGTGGGTGGATGCAGGGTGGTATATTCTAATGGTGGGCATACCACACACTTTTTCTGCAGAGATTTCTTCTCTTTTTTTTCATTCAGCCCACAGGCTGCTTAAAAAAAAAAAAGAACACAGTATATTTACCCAACAAGGATCAGCGATGTACTGGTACATCACTGGACTTTGAAAGGTTATACCAGGATGATGCCTGCAGCTGCAGGCATCATCCTGGTATCGTTTTTTTCATCCGGTGATCAGATTTCATGTAAAAGCAATCCTAGTGGCTATATGGCTGCAGGATTGCATTTACAAGCAGCTGGAGAAGATGCCCCCCCCCTCCCCCATTGCCTTCCACGGCCTTCTCGGGCAGTCTTGTGTAATCGAGGGAACCTGAGAATGCAGCCGGTGTTTCTGCCAGCTGTCCATAGAGCTGATTGGAGACTGGAATGGTGCGAATCATCTCTATAGTCTAAAAAATCGGAAGCTACGAGCATTTCATCACTTCAGTTTGGTAGGATATAAACAGTGCCATTTGTACATTGGGAAAGCATCTGACCACACTGATCTTGGTGAGATTAGATAGTGTAAGGGCAGAGGAGATATCTAGAGTCTGATAGACCCCAGATTTCTCAAAAAAGAACATATGACAATGCCCATTGAAGTTATAGGTGATATTTGCATTCCCTGTGATAGCATAAAAAAAACAATTAAGGGGACAGTGTAAAAATAATTTAAAAAAATCAAATTAACTAAACATTTTAAAAAATGTTGTGCGAGCATTCACACTGTTTCAGTAGGTAAACAGCTGTTGCACCATGCATGCGAGGATGTGAGGTATTGCCGCAAACGTCAGATCAAGGGCAGTAATTAGCAATAATTTCCTCTGTAAAATTAAATGGTAGCTTGTAAAGTCTTTTAAAGCTTTGCCTATGGATATATTAAAAATGTATGCAGCTTGTTGCCATTGTACAGGGCATGGCAGTTTTAAAGTATTTCATGTTTGGTATCTATATACTCAGCATACCTGTCAGGGAGCGAGGAGCCAGACACACAAGGAGGTGCAATTAAAGGTAGGTTTATTTACACAGAAACAAGGCAAGAGTCTATGCAAGTCCGACAGCAACAGCGAATGACTTGGTAGGACAGAAGTTCTCCTGCCGAGGTCATCTTACAGGATAATCAAGTCGAGAACCAGCGGGAATCGTAGCCAAAGCCTGGGTCAGAAGCCAGGAAGAATGGTCGCCAGAGCCGGGGTCAGAAGCCAGGAGGAGTCTTTGCCAAAGCCGAGTCGGTATCCAGGAGAGCAATGAGTTAACTGAACAGGAGCTTGCTGCTGTGCAACAGACAGGACACGAATGCAATGGACAGCTACAAACAGCAGACTTAAATGTGATAAGCCGCCACCTCCTGGGAGGAGCCACAGAGGGCTGAAAGCATAAAGGATCCCACAATGCTTTGCAGACCTAAGATGGATGCCAGCACATGGAGCAGCACAAGCCCTGAGGAAAGGTAGGACCTTGATAATACCATCATCTTCTATATTTTACCAAATAATAGGCCAATATATTGTGTTTTTGTGCATTAAAAGTAAAAAAAAAGTTATTTTTTTTCACATGTTTTTGGAAAATGAAGAAAGAAAACAAAAACATATATTTGCTTTTTTTTTTATATTTCAAAACCTTGTGAGAAAAAATTAGATCTGCAACATACTCACCAATACTCACTTTTTAAATTCCTTGGGATGTCTACTTTCCAAAAAGGGGTCATATTGGGGGGGGGGGGGGGGGGGGGGACTGGGGGGTTGGTGCCATCCTGGCATTTCACGGTCTCCAAAACTGTGATAGGTAGTGAGGAAGTGAAATGAGGAAGTTACGCACCTTCTGGCTATCAAAGTGGTCATTGGATTTCAGGCTCCTGTATGTGGCTAGGTTCCCAAAAAGTCTCACACATGTGGTATCCCCATGCTTGGTAGAAGTAGCAGAATGTGTTTTGGGTTGTAATTCCACATATAACCAAGGCATGTGTGAGCGATATATCATTTAAGTGACAACTTTGTGTAAAAAAAAAAAAATGTTTGTGTAATTTTACAAAATTTGTGGATGCCTCTCAGCAGATAGGTTAGGGTGTCTACTTTCGGAAAAGGGGTCATTTGGGGGTGTTTGTACTGTTCTGATATTTTAGCACCTCAAGAAATGTGATGAGCTGTCAGAAAGGAAAAGCTGTGTAAATTCCATTATCTATACCCTAGTTTGTAGATGCTATAACTTTCACACAAAGCAATCAATATA